GTGATCCGGCTGTCAAACTGGGATTTATGCCCTTTGGCCAAATCATAAATTGTCAGTCACCGTTGTAAACCAACTGCAAATGTTGGGAAATAGGCTGGCAGGAGAGAAATAACAGGGAAACCAACCTCTACGGAGAGATTGTGACCAAATTTTGGATCAAAAACACCAGGTGAACAGAGGGCAAACTTACCGGTGCTGATAAGAGTTTAGCATGATCACTTACAGTTAATTTTGGGTCAGACAACTTGTCTGTTTGCATTTGCTGCTTATTTTCTTATTTGTAGTGAAATACCAATCCTCTCTGTGTTCCTTGTTGAAAATGCTGCTGCTTTCTTTAGAAAGGTGAGATGCAGCGTTGACCCCACTTAGAGAGGAAGTGTTGTTGTTAAAGTACCGCGGCCTCCTTTCTTCTCCCCACGCCTGTTACTTCAGACAGCCTCTCACTCCAGAACTCTCTTAAGATCAACTCTAAACTCTCTCAGTCTCAGGAAGTGTTGGAGGAAGCTCTCTGCTTATAGTGGGCTTTTCTTAGACTCCTAGGGCTCATCCATGGTCTCCTCCATAGCTGAGAGCATCATGTAAAAAGGGGGTTATTTATTTACTGTCACATTGTCATGTTTATTTGGAGATGTTGGCTTTGCAGGCAGTGAAGTATGGCTTCTGTCTATGACTGCCAACGCAGAGACCACTTTCCCATGAGCTCCAACAGTTAAAACACTTTAATGCATCACTTAATGGCTACACAAATAACGCAAAGACAGCTACTGCTGTAGGTGGGAAACGACGAGGCTGCAGTATGTCACCAGATGCTTCAGCACTGGATGTGTCCTTTTAAAGTAAACACGGTGCTGGCTGAACAAATTCATTACGCAGCAAACTGCCCATTATCAGACAACAACATTTGTTCTGAGACAGCTCTTTAATCAACAGGGTGGAAAATGAAGAGGTCGTAATGGTTATTGTTATGAGGTGGTTTTGGATGAAGCAAAGGATCACTAATCAACTTTATAAATGAAGGTCTTTAAAAGGAATGAATGTTTTTGTGTTTTCCGTTGCTATTTCACCAAAGTAGTCTTGGACATGTTAGAGGATGGGGATGATCAAAGGCTTGCTAGGAGATGGCTCATTATACAGCAAGTAAATGGAAAAAAATAAGAAACGGATATTTTTCTACACTTGTGTTTAGACCAAAGACTATTATTTTATTTAAAGCTTTCAATAAACGTAGCTGCTTCAAATGAACATACTTAGAATAATATTATTTAATTATTTATTTGACAGTCGAGCTGCACCTGTTATGCTAGTAAGCAGAATGCTGCGTTTCATTAGTTATCAAGTCCTCGAGAGGTTTGTAAACACCCTAAATCATCATCATACTCAACATGCATTTGGTTCAGTGTTGTATGCATTTCTGTTTTTTTTAGAATATGTCTTACCCACTTAGCAATTTCCTGCAGGACTAGAGACAACCTATTTTCAAGAGGCAAACTCGTGTAAACATGTCTCCACGAGAGAAAACAAAAATTATTTTCTTTGCATTCCCGCAAGAACCTCGGTGTCACGTCTTCCTCTTGACTAATTTATCCTGTGCGTCCTGCTGAGCACTCACGCTCCGCCGCGGCTGGCTGTTCAGACCGAGAGCGAAGCTGCAGATGACAGCGGTGAGCTATGTGCTGCTCGGCCTCATGGGAGGTAATGAATCTGTGTGGCTGCCGAGACTCAAGTGTAGACAGCAGGAGGAAGAAAAGTGATCAGTCTTTCATGGTGAGGTACTACTTGTCTAGCATGTGGGTCACTGATAGCCGGAGAGACACAGCATGAATAAAAAGCAACAACAGGACAAGGTGCATTGCGGGGTCTGTGTAAGAAAAGGAGGAGGAGGAGGATAAAAACAGGGCAATGAAGCACTTTTGAGGATTTAAGAGTGAGCGGTAAATCAGATGAGAGAAGTAAACAAAGCGTGGCTAGTCTTGGGGAGAGGGTGATGCATGGTTCAGAGTTTTTCTCCCTGGTGCCCCCCAACTCTCTCCGAAAACCGCTGCACCGGGGGGGTTAATTATTCTGACTTTGCTCCCCCACTAATTATCGTTATCATTATGAGTGATAATTACCATTTCACCGCCTAACACCCATGTAGACTGCTCGACTCGGAGTCACACAGAAGCTTATCAATAGCTGCTCAATTGCAGTCTCATCTGCTTAATTATAAGATTCTGGGCTTTGTGAAAACTGAATAGGATGTGAAATCTAGTATTATGTCTTGTGAGGGCTGGTAGGATTCTGAAAGTCAGCAAAAAGGTCTGAAATAAACAAATGTAAGTAGAGCCTGTTAATTAAAAGCTGTGGCTTTCTTCAGAACATAAATCAGAGGAAATCCAAGGTTATTAAACATGTGGAAGCCTCTGAAACTTCATGCAAGCTCACACAGAGCCAAGTACAGAGAGCACAATCAAAATCCTCTTAGTCATAAAACTTCATATCCCTCACCTTTTGATTCAGATTAGTCACTACATAGAAATCCAAAGATTTTTCCAGATTGCACTATCTAGAGGTGGAAAAATAAATTGCACTCTAAGCCCCTCCCCCTACTTCCACCATTACGGCTGGAAGCAACGTCTCTTCTTCATGAACATGCACCTCTAGCTGGCCGACAGAGCTAATATGCAGCATATTTTAAAGAGTTGTCCATGAGAAGTTTGCCAACTGTGCATCAGTCTAGGTATGTTCAGAAAGGCTCATGCATGCTCGTTGACACCTGTATGTAAGTGAATGTCTAACTCTATTGGCTAATGCTAAGTGGCACTTAATTCAGTGCATCATTCAATCACATGGGGCTCTATGGGACTTAGCAAAGAATATTTAAAGTTAAAGTCCCATTAGTCATCACACACGGGTGAAATTCATCTTCACATTTGACCCATCCTCATGGGGAGCGGTGAGCTGCAGCTGTGGCTGCGCTTGGGAACCATTTGGTGGTTTAACCCCCCCATCCAACCCTTAAGCCTAATTTATACGTCTCCGTCAGTCTCAGGACGGAGACACACAATGGCGTTATGCGTCAGTGCAAGAGTTCTCCGACGGGCTTGCAAAGAGTGAAAGAGACACAGTTTTTAACTGTCCATTGAAAGAGACATAGACGGCAAGCTTGTGATTGGTTGCGATGCTGCTTCCTGTAAATTTGTCAACAGCACCGTCTTTGCCCCCTTAAAAAAGAAAAAGATATTTAGCGGCAGACACGGAACAGATTGAAGAATGGAAAAGTCTGAAAATATGAACGTTTTTAACCCGTGACTGAAGGAGCACAAAGATATGCAGCAAGCTTTTTACTCGTGGCCGGAGAAGACAAGAAACGTGAGTTCAGAAGTGCTGATGGCATGGAGAGTAATGGACAAATTTGTCCGGGTAAAAAAGTCTCTGAAATACATAAAAAAATGTAAACACATTAGTAAATACACTATCGTGGACCAGATACGTGACTGTAATGGTGACAGGATACCTCAGAATAGAGCTACCCCTCTGTTGTCCTGGTGGGGGATGGTTTTGCAACAATCTCCAGCTGACGGAGAAGTCTGAGAGCAAAACGCCTCCGTCAATGTGTCTGCGTATTTCCCTCGTGGAACTGACAGAGAAGTAAAAATTAGGCTTTAAAGCTGAGTGTGAAGTAGGGAGGCATTGGGTCCCATTGTTACAGTCTTTAGTATGACGTGACCAGGATTTAAACCCCGATCTCCCAGTCTCAGGGCAGACACTCTACCACTAAGCCACCACAAAGACTTTTATACATCTTAATATTTATACATTTCTAAAAAAAAAAGTCATACATATTTTTTGCCTAGAAATCTAGACAAACATAGCAGAAGCAAAAGGTTTTGTTATACAGGTTGGGTCAGCCACCTTCGATTGGAACCTCAGCAGGTCTACCACTGGCCCGACCAGTTTTGTGTTTTGTGCCAATCACAGGGTTCTATCAGTTTGGTGTGCCAATCACAGTGCTCTATCAGACTGGAGGGTTGGGTGTTTATTTATAAAAAGGATGTATTTGCATGTTCTTCTGCAGCGAATGGTGGACTGCCCCATTGACTGGCATCCCTAGCAGTGAGTTTGTCACGTCCAATAGTGTGCAGAGACAATTTGAAAGAAAACCATAGATTTCGCCCCACGATGAGCTTTTCTATGGGTTGTAGCCAGACTATATATTCTCATGTATAGGTTTTTTTTGCCTGGTTTACATAATTCCTGGAAGAGGATAAACTCTGGACTGCTGAGAGCCACACAGTGTACAGTTGTCTTGCCAGCAGACCTGTATCACAGTCTCTGTCTGTGACTTATGTTAAGATTAGTAGCTGTGTTTGTCAGGGTGGGAGGGGGTTTCTAAATCCCCCTGTGGCATTTTGGGCTTGCAGCTGACGCCTTGAAACTGATGAATGGCCTCTCCATCTGCGGCAGTTCAGCCTCGGAGTGCAAGACCGACACAGGCCTAATCAGTTAGAGAAATTCATTAGACCTGCTCCCAGTAGCATACAGCTGGGCGGACATTTGGCTGGGGAAGCAGGCATAAGGGCATGGGTACAGAGATTAGGGAAAACAGGCGGAGAAGATGAACCGAGGAACGTCAAAGTCAGGATCGACAGTTTGACTAGGGTGGAGGAGTTTATGCCATGGAGAGCTTTATGAAAGACAGGACGAACGTTCTTTTTGACCCCGATTGCCTTTCCACCCTCTAAGCCATGGTTTATATGGTGTCCCGTCTCATATAGTAGACTCATGTTGTTTTTACATGCATCGGGGTCTTAATAAAGTAGGTTGGGTGAAAAACCACCAACCACAAAGAAAAGAAGAGTTTTTGTTGCAGCATGAGTGAAAAACTCCTGTGAATATGCTAAAAATAAATGGCGATGACCAGAATCGCCCAAATACCTTTGTGGTTGTAATGATTTTTTTAACATTGATGCCATATCAGCAGATCGTCTGATCCCATCTCTTGTTTCGTCTTTCCACAGAGACACTCATGGACTCCACCACAGCCACGGCTGAGCTCGGCTGGACGGTCTACCCGGTGTCGGGGTCCAGTGACAACAGCGTAAGTCACCGCATTGTGATTCTAACAGCCATTAATAATAGCCTCTTAAGAAATTATATGTTTTGGTAATCAGTTTAGGTTATTTTTCATAGATATGGCACCCAGATAATTGTTCCAAGAGCTCAGACCCCCATGGACATTTAATTTCTGTGGGTTGACACTGTTTTGGTTTCTCACTTTGAGGTCAAAGGATCAATCAGAGAGCCAGCAGGCCCCTTACAACCAGCTGGATCAGTTCTGTCTAAAAACAAAAATCTGAAAATTAAATGAGAAAATTACACATCTAAGAATTTCTTTATACTTTATTTGCACACGTAGTGTTTAAAAAATAGAAGCATTATTCAAATGATCTCTGCTTTTGAAAACTTTCAAGGACGGATTCTGTGTGCTTTTATTTATTTATTTTTTTTGTTTCGGGCAAATCCTTTATGAGCAACGAATAATGAGCTCAGTGTGTTTGTTCTTATGCCACACTGGAAGTAATGTGTTATATGGGCCTACTGGTGTTTGATGCACAGTGTTTCCAAACCGTTTGCCAGGAAGTTGGTTCCTCCCAGCCACATGCAAACCAGGCCCACGCAGAGCAGCCAAAACCCGTGTCTCGGTCTCCTTCACTTTTTACTCCACCGCAAGATGTAGGCTTCTTAGTAGAAGTTCAAAACAGAGGGAAAAACAAGCCTTGTAGATATATTTTTGCTGGTGTACTTCAAAAACCACTGCCGATTTTATTCAATTATTTATTCTTCTGTGGTTTGTGTTAAAGATGGCTTAAATTGCACTCCGTTATGGGGAGCCTTTTTGCACCAACAAAACACGAAGAAAGTGACTTCTTAACAGTTCCATCAGAGAACTTCAAAGATTCATTCCTCCCAACCTGAAGGCACGTCGCACAGAGAGCACTTTCCGCTAATTTCCACAATCAAAACCAAAGCACAAAGATTTTCTCTGCCCAGCTCTGATTTCAATCTGCTTACAGAGAGCCACGGCACAGCCCGTAGTTTGTTTACATCACGTTTGTTTTTCATCAGTTCTGATTCAGCGAAGCACGGGCCCTACCTCTCATGATCAGATTTATTATGAAGTGGAAACTGCAAAAAAAGATTACCGTTTAAATAGACAAGAGAAGCTGCCAGCAGGTCTTTCTTTAACGTTGTCCTGCTATAAATGATGTGAAATCTGAGTCAAAATTTGAAAAAAAAACAAAAACTTCTTTAGTGGCCGGCAGTGCTTCAGATTTTATAGAAATAAGCCTGATTATTCAGCCTTTGTCTAATTTGTCATAACGCAGCCAAGCATTCAGTGTAACCCAAAAACAAATGTGGGACGAACTGTGTATTGATGAGAGATTAAGCTGGAAATCACTATGTACAATTTCAACTGTATAAAGTCCACTACTTCCCTTCTCAAAATTCACTAACCACTAGGGCTGAACGATTTTAGGAAAAGTTAGAACTGCAATTTTTCTAGCAGAAATAGCGATTTTGGTTCAATTCAAGATTTTCTGCAAACAAAGGCCCAAGACTAGCCTGCCAAGCCGTCCTGTATAGATTAAGTGAAAAGATGGTCTAGATTCTAATCTAGTACAACAAATCATTCACATTAAAATGTACTACTTAATCATACAATTAAAACAGTTAAAGCTATTAATATTTTCTCCCATCATTATCTTTTTTTAAATTTTAATGTGTTTGTGAAGTAACTTGTGCTTGTGATTTTGATCTAGAGAGGAGCTTTATAAAAGCATCTTCTACCCCAAAAATGCATGGAGGAAATCTGTAGGTAGAAATAGCTTTTAAATGTATGAAATAACAAAATGCACAGTTTTCCCTGCATTACCGCGGCAGGCTGGCTGCACGTTTTCGAAGCCGTCCGATAGTTTTTCCTCACTAACTTCAGCTCCGTGAGAGAGATGCACGCATTCTGACACCTTAGCTCGTTTGAACTAACGTGCGCCATCAGAAACATTCAAACCATTTCTAAAAGAGAAGTTGAGCCTTCAAGTCAACTAAAGTGCGTGACTCCGCACTCGTGCTGATGAAGCATAAACCTGCCTGAACCTGCTGATGTGGGAGGAGTCTCTCGCTCTCCCTTACTCAACTACGCTCTCTCTCTCTGTCCCGGGCTCACCTACGGTGCCATTATTATCGGCTCTAGCAGCGCTGTGTGTGGGAACATCAAACAGGGAAAATAACCTGAACATGCAGCTCTGGCAGCTGTGGAGTTGGGCTCGGCTCTGGACGGTAGTCCCCACCCCCCTCCCCCGCGCTGGCTTTTGCCGCCGCCATGACACGGGGAAAACCCTGGATGTAAAAAAAGTTACACAACTGATCCTGGATCAGTCAAAACCGCAGCTTTGACGGTCACGTGATCGTGCTGTTTGAAATCGCAATTTCAGTCCAAAAACGATAGATCGTTCAACCCTACTAACCACCATTTATTACTCATTCTTATTTTAATAAATGACATATTGCATTAAGGTTTGGTGTAACACATAAAAGACAAATACCAATTCAGTAACTTTATTGCATTAAAAAAAAGCCAAAAGATGCATCTGTAATAAACTGCTTTGCACCAACAACCCACTGATTATCCATTTAAACATTTTACAATTCAGTGACAGGGCTGTGATATAAGTTGCTGTTTAACGGCGGCCCTGAGTTAGTTGCGTTGATTTGAAGCATTGTTTGCGCGCGTCCCTCAAAATTAACGTGATGCGTCAGAACGGTGCAATATACGAGTAACCAGTAGGTGGAGTCGACATCTACGATACCGCTGCTGTCTTTTTTCTGTCACAATCTCAAAATGAACCAGTTAGTGAGCTCTTTTATTGATGCCATGTTTGTTTTGGTTGTTCTCACAAACCCGGCTCTCTATCCGGTCTGAGTTCTCTCCTGCGCCCCCTGGTGGAACACTCCAGTTCTACATGCAGTGCAGTGCTGTAGCAGCAGGTATGTGATGAAAGATGCAGCCTGCTGCCTGCACCAACACAAGGTCAACAGCAAGTATACCTGGCCATTCTCTCTCATACCACGGTGAAAACAATCACCGTGTTAAGGATGTAAACATCTGTAATAGTTGTCTGGAAAATATACAGTTGTGTTCAAATATGACTGGCTTTAAAGCAACTATGTGTATTGTCCCTGGCAACAGGGGGCAGTACATACCTAAATAATTGCAAGCAAGCAGTTTTTTGTGTTTGAGTAAGACCTTATCAACAGATGGCCATTAGGGTCAAAAATCCCTGGAGCACAACGTCCAGCAAAATGAAAGCACATCAGACTCCCTTTCATCACTGGCAACAACTGAAGAGGTAAATGTGTAAATCCACAACATTTATAAGTAGGAAAGATTTTTTAACCACTTGTTACAAATCAGTAGATGCATCTTGTCCTCACGGGCTCCCGTAGAAGGAAACATGGCATCTAATGTAGCGTCGGCCAGAGACTTAGACCTGCTCCATGTATTTTAGACCCGATTTTTATGGTTTTATGTTATGAAGCTGAAAATATTTTTCAACAACTGAGCATCACTTTATATATTTTTAAACAACATTTTGATGGATATTTCCAGTAAAAACTACACATTGTCTCTTTAAGAGACTTTATTAAGAAAATATTATTCTTTTGACGCAGTAGGGAAAATTGAGGTGAAATGCCTTGTATTATTCTTGGGCTGTGTTGCATGAGTTATTTTTTTGGAATAGAGAAAAATGTAAGTTTATTGTCTTATTGTGAATGTGTTCTGGTGTCATGGTGAAAATTTAGGGTAAAAGAGGCCGGTGAACACTAAGCTTTGCTGCTTCCACCCTTCTAGATACAAAGGGCACCTGGACTCAGTTGTTACTTGTACCAAAAATAAATAAATTAATTCATTCTTGTTTTCTGTATTTTTGTTTCACTCATATGGAAAAATACACACACACACACACACACACACACACACACACACTGGAAAGCCCCTAAGCCCCTGGATTTAGTCTCATATAGGTTGGCCTTATCAGAACTGGGACTCAGGTTTTATAATCATATGGTCCTGCTTGTCCAGATCCCGGTCCCCTGGTGAGTGAAAAATGAGAGTGATGGAGATAGCTAGTCCCTCGTGGCCCATGACAACAGGTGTAGAAGTGGGGCTGGCTCTCCCTTTCAGTATAACAGTGAGAGATGCGTCGCAGCAGCTATTGTCTTACACTCGTACGGCAATGCATGACTTCACTAACTTAGCTGGTGGATCAGTAACTTCCAGCAGAGCGCCGAACCAGCATGTGGTTTTTACTACAGCCTAGCATGACATATGGAGAATCACAACGCGATGGAAATGTGATCTAGAAATAACAAATTAGAAACATTTTACAGCGTTTTGTGTTTAGCTCCTATTTTATAGGGTAAATAAATAAGGTCGGTCATTTGTTTGTTATAAAAATCGATGTTTAAATTAGTCACACGGTGAGTGTTTTTAAGGATCAATATCAAATTTTAGCATCTGATAATTAGATTTAAAGACTTAAAAACATTGGCTTTGTCAACTCTAACTCCCCTTGCTGCCTTTCCTTGAATGACATTTTGAGGCTGGTTCAAAAAGAACTTATTCCTAAAATTTCCAGTGAGAGAATATCCAACTTCTCGACTGCTGCCTGATACACATTTTTAATTGCATAAACTAAGCACAGTGTGAATGACTTGAATTTTAAATTGCAGCAAAAGTTTGATTGCCTATGAAAGAGTCCGCTTGATTTGAGTTTTCGGTTGAAATCAACCCTCCATGCCTTCATAAAGGCAGAACCTTATCTTACAGCAATCATAGCTGTATCAAAAATAATTTTAAATAAAATTTTAAATGTAGTTTAATATAGTAAATATGATTTATTTTAATTTGTTGCTAGTTCCTGAACCATGTGGCCACACTATTGTAAGTAAATACACCAAAAAGTGTTTCAGCCAGACTGTTGTAATTTAGCAAAGCATGCCAATGACTGATGTGACTGAAGAAGAAGAAGAAGAAGA